GCTGGGGAAACACGGGCGGATATGTGGGCAAATGAACTGATCTGTTTGCCTGGCAACGAAACTGTATAAGGTCTGGAAGATACCAGGTAAGAGATGATGTCCGTGCTCACAGAACAAATAATAAGGATGTTGATGGAAAGTAGAAGAATTAAAAGATGAAAGTTTGATTAAATCGGAGTAATAAACTTGGAGTAATAAACGAGACATGTTAGAATAATGTTTCGGTTAGAAAAAAAATGATGGATAAAATAGGCCGACTTTGGCCCAAAAAGTGGTAATTTATATATACAATCCTACGTTTTTTAGGTCGCTGAATTAATTTGTCTAAACCGGTGAAAATTCGTCCTGAAAACGTTGAAATAAATCACTTTTATTAGTAATTCGGTTAGTGACGATTTTATTCAAATTATTTATTTACTTTTATTATGCACGGAGAGAATATTGTAAAAATATTGTAAAAATTACTATAAAAATTATTATACAATTTTAATAGTCCGAAAATAAACTGGCACTACTATGAAAATTATAATAAAACAGTTGCAGTCTGACGTGAAATCCAGTTGAAACTCAAAGCAGACCTGACGTTAAATACAGTTGAAACTCAAGAATTTCACAATATCGCACACGAAGTGTTGTAGTTAGCCACCCGTTTTCGTTCGTCCTTTTATAGAGAGAAACATAGAAGAAGAAAGCAAAATGTTCGCAGATCTCAAACGAACCCAACACACGCGCGCGTACGCGGCTATTTAATGGCTAAGAATTTTGAGAAAAAACGAAGAGGGAAGAAAGTGAGGTACGTGTTAGACGAGTGAGCTTAGCGAACGGAGAAATGGCGAGAACAAGGGAATCACGGTAGGTGGAAGGCGGTCGACAAGGGCGTGAAATATAACGAAGAGCCGCAGACCGAGAAGCAGAGAGAGAGAGAGAGAGAGAGAAAAAAGGAAAAAAAAGAAGAGGTCGGAAGCTTTTAAAATCTAAATCCGGATTCGGCGAGAGACCCGGAAGAAAAAGCCCCGCAGTGGCGAGATCGGGGAAGAGAGGAGGCGCAGACGTGGAGACGGCGGTGACGGAGGGCAGAAGGGTAGGAAGGGAGGGATCAAGCGAAGAGAGGGAGGGAGGGTCGGTGTGCTGTTAACCACCGGGGGGTTAACCGTCGTCCCCGGTATCATCCGTTGCACAAAAGCCGTAAAGCACGCTGCCCGGTTATTTCGGTCAATCCTCGAGGAGGAGGCCGTCCGGAAAATATTCACATCGATCTACCGACATAGCTGACCTCTCCCTCCTCTCTCTTTTCCTATATCTCACCCCCGTAAATATGTACACGCATACACATACACAGCGCGCATTCTCTCTCTTTCTCTCTTCTCTTTCTCACACACGCACACCCAACACTTACACCCAAGAGTATGCGCGCAGCAGAACAGGGCTCGCCGGTAACAGATACCGGATACTCTCCCTGTATGAAGCGCCTCAAAGTGCTCTTTCGAGGGTCGCACAGAGGCCAGGTCAACCGCATCACTCTTCGGCAACACAAAAGGACGCAAAACGGACGGTCCGTTCGTCCGTCCGTACGTCGGTCCGTTCATTCGACCGGCCGTCGGGTGAACGCCGGCCATAAATAGCGCCACGTCGACGTGGCCGGCGTTTTTCGGCATTATAAATAAATTCCTGACGTGTGCGCGTCCAATTCACCCTCCGCGACGGACTATTACCGAACGGTATGAAAGGACGAGCGACCAAGGACAGATCTCCCGGGATAATTCCCGTCTAGGGATCGGCCCACGGTAATTCTGCATTATTCTCGCGGCAGATGCGAACCGCCGATTCAGAATCGCCGATAACGACTCCGTCGTGTCGATTCCTTTGGCCGAAGGTAAGACGTCCTAAGCCACGACCGCGTAATCTTGCCGTTCCGATTTTCGAATTTAGCATGCGACGAGAGAGGGGACTCGTTAGGGATCGTGCCACATGAACTCGCTTCTCCGGAGAAACGCACAGAGAAACATATCCGTCCCTTTAGTGCCCTCGAAGAAACATTAAAAAAATATTCCTATATACAGTAAAGTACTATTTCCCGGATACGTCCCTGGTTCTGAACATTTCTTAATATTCTTTTTCCTTTTAGTCTTTATAAATACAAATATCTCAATTTTCAACATGAAATATGTATTTTTTGTATATATATTTTTTTAATTTTATATTGTTTTATTTGTTTTATATTTGTTTTATATTATTTTTGTAGTTATATATATCTTTTAGTTTTATATTAAAGTTTAAATATTTTAATATTTTAATATTATTATAATATTTAATATTTTAATATTATTTGTATTTAAAAATCAAAGCAACAAGAATATCCAAGATTAGATACTTATCTAATCCTGGACGTTCTAGTTGCTTTATCTTATATATTTTAGGTGAAATTGCTCAAAAAATTCGTTATATAAGGTGAAAATATCAATATCTGGACACGTACTTAATCCTCAGCATTCTTATTGTTTTGGTCTTCAAATAATTTGAATTGTTAATATAAAAAATATTGCACATGTATTCTATGTTGAAAGTTTAAATATTCGTATATCCACAGGATTAGGTGGGTATCCGAGAAATGACATGCTTAGCCTACTTTTGTTTCTATTCTACAATGCGAGTTAATAAACAACCAAGGCTTATGTTTGCAATAGCAATGAAGATGATATATTTACCGATAGAATACGCGAAATATCACGTCGTATCGACGCACCGCATTCACGGCACAGACAGGCGGAGTCATCTTCCGCGGATAATAATCGAGATAAAAAGATATGGAAAGAATTAGCTTCGTCGTTTTATTAACGCACCGGCGGTAATGAATGTTGCCTTTTCGTTTTGCAAACACACAGAGATCCTCCGTTGCGATACGAATAATAAGATTCGGTATTATAACGTTAAGGGCCGCAGCCCAACCTTCGGGTGCTGTCAGTGCTATTGTGCTTTTTATAAGCCGAAACGCGTGGTTGAGAAATCACAAAAACGAGACGCGCCGAGATTTCGCGGTGGGAGACATTTACATGAAAGGAACGTAAAATTCTGGGAAAATCGCGACGGAATCTCATCTCTAAATCTTTAGATTTAATCTGAAAAGAGAGAGACAGAGAGAGAGAGAGAGAGAGAGAGAGCGAGAGAGACATATAGAGAAAGAGAGAGACAGAGAGAAAGAGCGAGGCAGACTTCCTGCGTCGGTGTGGCAAACTGTCGTCCCGAAGCGCGACGTGACAAATATCCGTTATTTACATAAAGCGCACATAAAGTCATGAGACGCGATACGATCTCGCGTATCCGGATTCCCAAGTTTAATGTGAACGCGACTTTGTCTCAAGATACACTCGCGGAGAAGGCGATTCGACAAACGCGTTAAGAAATGGTAACGGTAGCGCTGTGCGAAGCATCCTGGCGTTGTTAACGGTCAGGCATCTGCATGAAATAGGAATTCCAAAAAGCGAATGTAATTCTGCTCTCGGATTCTTGAATTTAATCCGTGCGAGAGCTACGCGAGAAAGCTCCACTCGTTTGCCGCCCGTGATGGGAAAAAGAGACAGAGAGTGAGATCGCGCAGTACACCAGAGAGAGAGAGAGAGAGAGAGAGAGAGAGAGAGAGAGAGAGAGAGAGAGAAAGTGGCACGAAAAATTTCACCCTTTCACTCCCCGGCGTAATGTGATATTTAATTACACCGTCGTGTAACATATCACGGCGCCCAACTGTTCTCTTCCGTTGGCGAGATAGCCAACAATAAGTCACCTGTTCGCGAATACATACAGGAAGCGGCAAAATTCATGGTACGAGCGAGAAGGGAACGATGTCACGTACAAATATAGGTTGAAAATGTTGAACGAATGTTTCATATTTGGATTTTGAGAAAATCACGTTTTTAGATATCCGCCGTTGAAAAGACGATTATCAGAACGAAAGTACGTTCGCTGTTTGATGATCGTTAGGGGAATTAGTAGAACAGTTACCGTCGCAAATCATTTCTCATCATTTGTCATATTAACAAACATGCATCGCCTGAGATATCACATCTCATCAATCATATTCGCCCTCGTCCATTTAGGTTGGGTTAGATTAGTTGTGTTCCCATCGCAGAAGTGTTGCTTAAAGCAGCAAATTGAAAATAACAAATCATTTGTTCCCACTATTCGCTGTCCCTTTTCAACAAACCGTTGGGCTACTCTGGTATTTCATTTAATTAGCAAAAGTCAGTTTTCCACTGACAATACGATGTGGAGTACGCGTGCATCTCACTGAATTACATTTAATTTCACTTGCGATAATGTGCACTTCAATACATTCTCGAAATTTATTTATAACATAGCATTATATACAGGATGAATCAATAACTATTGTCATCCGGAATATCTTTGAAGCAAATAAAAGTTGACCTTTGGATCTTCGAAAGTGACGTTGTTGAAAAGTTAATATTTTTTGTGAGACATTTCATATTTTATATTTAAATGTATGAAAATAAAATACCACGGGAGATATTCACTTTTCGACGATTTTTCCCCGGTGCGCTTTTATATATAGAATGATCAGAAAAATCGAATTACGAGTAAAGAAATTATATAATTCCATTAAAAAAATTAAAGTTAAAATTGACAGAATTTTTCTAAGTCAACCCAAGGTTAAATATATCTCGAAATCCTACAACTTTTGTTGGAAATATTTTTCGTATCTTCCTTAATTTACAAAGTATACAACACTGTATTAATATTAAAAATATTATTACAATAAATTAGTACAATAAATAAGCATTATATTATCAAAATATATATTATTATAATAAAATATTACTAATAAATGTGTTAGTATTATGATATTAACATTAGAATACTCTGTATAATTGAAAATTTGCGATCGCCCTTGCCTCTCGCCTTTCTCGTGAATATACGCGCGATCGTCTGACCAGTGCGAATCGATTGCCGAGAAATCGCTCACGCGTGAAACATCGTTCACTTTTCAGAACCCGTAACCGAGATTCTGGGTGCGCCGGACTTGTACATCAATCGAGGTAGCACCATCAATCTCACGTGCGTCGTCCTGCAGAGTCCAGAGCCGCCCGCCTACGTCTACTGGAACCACAACGATGCGGTGAGTTCGAACCCCCCGATCCGTTATTATTTCCGTTGTGTCGCAGTCTGTCGGAGTACTGACACTTCGGAAATACCCCGGGAGCTTAGAGCTCCAAGTTTACGCGCTCGACGAATGACGCACAGACGACGTTACAGCAATATCGCGCGATTAGCGGGACCTAGATTTATTACCGACGCGCGATTCTCCGGCCAACGTTGACTTTGCGTATGGATAATTAATGATGATCCTACTTCTCACAAAATATATATATATATATATATATATATATATATATATATGTATATGTATAAATGCTGATATCGCAGAGGGAACGTGTGTCGAATAAGTTTCTACTTCGCCGCGCTGCAACGCCAAGTTTCCCGCGCGAGATGAAATTTTCAACGTCACGGCTGCAACTCGTCGTCTACCTTCGTCGTGTTTATTGCACGCGCGGTGGCTCGGGATTATTATTATCGTTGCTATCGTTACATTCTCCGATTCTTTCCTTCGTTAATTCTTACGAGCGCCGACGCGTACGTGGTGCATACGACAGGAGAACGGAAGGGGCCGGGATATTTGAGGTGCTCGCGATGAGAACACAGCACATGTCGATTGAGAGAAACGATCGTTACACTCTCCGCGGTTTTAAGGGCCGACGGTCATCGCGCAGAAATGGTCGAGATGCCGTGAACGGCAGTCGCAGATCCAATCTGCCTCTAACAGAGAATTTCGGCAGGAGGTAATAGCGTCGAAGAGGTGCGTGATGAATGGCCGTACAGGCGTCGGCAAAGGTCGTCCCTAATTAGCTACCAGCGTCTGGAACTCCAGGAAGTCGAACGATTAGGATGGCTGATAAGCGAACGGCGTAGGCGCCCTTAACCACCCGCTGTCATACAAGAATGTCGAGCGGCTCGTTTCCGTCGTTGAGAATTAATCGCGTGGCATTTGCGTTCTTCGAGGTACCGTCTCTCTCTCTCTCTCTCTCTCTCTCTCTTTCCTTCTTTCTGTGTCTTTTTTCCCTCTCTCTTTCCGCGCATAATCCCGAGACTGAAATATTTTCGCCGCGTACCACTTAATCCTGACCGTTACAGTTGCGCGACAATATTTGCACGCTCTGTTAAGTACACACGGGCAGCGTTACATGTTTGCGCGCGTATTTATTATAATTAATACATCGCGCATAAATTGTGCGCGCGCGCATGTTGCGGTAATTGCCAAACCAACCAGAAATATGCTCCAAAAAGCCGAGTTTAAGCTCCTAAAATATGCTGCGCGGGAGCGCGGATATTTTTCTAAAAACTCTTACTTCTCCACCTCGAGAATACTTAAATATCCCGTGAGCCGCTTATAGAATGACGAAACGCGAATAAAGTGACCAAAAATGCGTGTGTGTTGTGTGAGGGTGCGCATGTATGTATGTGCGTACGCCTATGAAAGATTTTTCCTCTTCTTACTTTTAAAACTGGCGGGATCCATTATATCTCCCGACGCGTTTGTGTCGTCAAACGGATTTCCACGTAGTATCTCCCAGACGCTTTTAGCGCGATAACAAAGTTTTTCGGCCAGACAAATTAAGTATGTACGCGCACCGAAGGGAGAGATCATAAAACATCCCGACGGTGGCGGCGACGACGACGACGACGACGACGACGACGACGACGACGACGACGACGACGACGTCGACGACTGTTTGCGAACGGCTGACCGACCAATAAATTTTGATAATGTCCCGGTTGGCTCGCCGCTAAATCGTGAGCCGCGGCAAAATTGGTAACGGCACTCAGGAGGTTCCATTAGGCGCATTAAGCTTGACCGAGAGCTTTGGGATTCGCCACGGCACGTAGAAACAACGCTCGCGCCGAGCCTTAAAGAGGGCCCTGTCGTGCGTGACTAACGCGTGCAGTCCGCAGGCTTCCTGACCGTAAATGAGCCGAAAGGGACACCGTAATTTCTCGGGATATTATTTCGGCTGGTCCCTTCATCGTCCTCTCGAATTGCCACCGTCTCAGTTCCACAGCACGAATACGTCCGCCGTGGAAAATATTGATAATGCTGCGCGATTAGCGAGACCCAGATTCATCGGTAACGGGACGAGAGAACGACCGGGGCCATCGTTGACTCTCCGCGCGCAGCACACGGATATAATCCCACCCGATAATCCTACCCTCTCCCGGAATATTCGCAGCTGATATCTCAGAGGCAACGGCTCGACATGCGCGTCGAATAAGCTCTCGTTAGTTTACCTGCCCAAAAAAAGAAGAGAAAAAGACACACGGAACGTCAACCCTGCGCGTATAATACGATCGCTTATCAAAATTTCGTGAGAAGTCTTCGATGGGATTTCAAAATAGCACAAATCTGTTTGCGGACTGTGATTTTATCGAGCTACTACGTCGCAGCTGAGGCTTTTCTGCGGAAGAAATGTATCCAAAAATATCGATTCGCAGGCAAGTTTAGTTCGAAGTTGCCTGACAGAACCGGATTGCGCTGCGCGGGAAAAGAAGTTTGGTTGGATTAACCAATTTCTAAGTAAAACGTGAGCGAACCGGAAAATTTCGGCTGATGTTATCAGAACTCAAGCTGATCAGAAATCTCGTTAACTTGAGCAGAATTCTGGTAACTCCAAGCGGAATTTCTGGCTCGTTCATACTCTACCAGAAATTCGCTCGATTCAGCTAAACTTCGTTTTCCGTGTGCACGTCCCAAAAAGTATGCTTGCACACGGAGGATTAAAAGTTCGCACGTACTAACGCGTCCATCACGGCGCCGTCGCTCAAGTACAGCGTATCACATCCAAGTGTGTCTCCTCCTCGGGACAACCTCCCAAGAATCCCTTAATACTTTCGTTTCACCCTCCGAGGATTACGCGTGTGAACTTCCGCCAAAGCTCTCCGTCCGCTCACAGTCCAATGGACCGTGACGACCGAGATCTTCGGATCATCCCCTTTAAATATTTCGCCGCGGCGAGGCTCTCTTCCTCTCCTGTGCGCGAGGATATCGCGAGAGATTGCGGGAGAGTCCCCGTGGGATCGAGCGAGCCAGAAGATGGCAGGCAGGCAGGCAGGCAAGGAGTAACTGCGCCGCGCTATCCAGTAACCGCGATTTCGCGCGACCATAATGATTCATGCGGTCGCGGAAGGCGCCGTGATCGCCCTCGGACGTGATAAAGCGCCGCGGCGGCCCGATAAGGAGCGTAAGGAGCAACTCCCGAATCGTCCCCGGGGAGCCGGGGCCGAAACCTCCCTCTCCACCCCGGCTGAGCGAGCGCGCTCCGTGATAAGGTCACCCCCGATCGATCCATCGCGCGCCGCGAAACATTTTCCGGCCGCAAGGAATCCGCCGGAACCCGGGCGCGTCCGCTTTCACGCTCCGATACACCTTATCCCTTTGATTTTGATTGAATTTCACATCGGCGTCTGTTGGCGGCGACCGCATCCCCGAGCGACGTGGCCTCGCGTGTCGATGCGGGACCAACAAGTCGACACCTCTCTCTCTCTCCCTCCCGCCCCCCTGTCTATCCTGGAACAGGAGTGTCTTCAAACGCGCAAACGATGTTATGTAAATAGACCCTTCAGCGAATACGGAATCGGTTTCCTCTATTTTCTCTTAGCGAAATCTTCGAGGCGTCGACGGACCTGTTCGTTGGAAACTGTTCACTAGATACAAAGGGCTCCTTGAGTATTAAAGCAAAAAAATAAATAACAATAGCACGGTGTCCGACGTTCGACTTCAAGTTGGCGTTGATTCGACAAGAGAATCTTGAGCTAGCATAGTTGAGCTTTGTTTTGAAAAATCTGGGCGTTACGCTTACAAATCGAAGGGACAAAGATTTTGCTTCGAGAATCAGCTCATAAGAGACGTAAGAAAAAAAATTGAACGCTTTATTGAACATCTTGAAATATTCCTACGACGAGTGTAACAATAATATTCTGTCTGGCTCTACAAGCCGCTTTTAAAAACACTTTTATCGATAAAAGAATGTTAAAAATAAGGGTCTTGGTGCAGGTGGACTGTTGGAATCGAATATACATTAATTCCTAAATAAATCCTTCTTAATCCTCAACATGAAGATTCTATTGAGATGAATAATTGTTAAGTACCTTTTTAAACTGAGACAATTATCAAAGGTTATCGCGATGGTGGAATACGATAGAAAAAGCTCATTATTTAATACATCTCTTTCTTCGAGCCTGAAGGAAACGTCGTCTAGAAATCACATATATATCATCAAAATAAAATGGTGTCATTTTATGTCTTTCTCCATTGATGCTTGAAATTCAATAGAGCCCCCGCAGAGATAATGCGAAACCAAAATTTCAACTCGGATACTTCCTCGAGTTTATCTTTCCACTACGGTTCCGTCGTACGTACGTACGTACGTACGTTCTCAATTGATTCGGGTCAGCGCCGAGTCAATCGGTTTACCTCAAAGAAATCCTATTAAGAGACGGTTAAACAAGATAACATATCCCGCCTTATTTATATGTCGACCGTGGAAGGCTGCCAAGGGAATGGGCAAACGTACGTGGACGACGCTGCCAAATCGGTTTCCGCGGTATTACCGCGACAGGAATAAAAGCACGTTTCGCAGATTTGCGGTTGTCGATGATGGTAAACCAATGTCGGACGGTCGCGTCGGAAGTGCGCGCGTATCGTGATACACTCCGCGGATAAAGCGTAATTATAATTTTAAGCCAATATACAAGGTGTCTGGCGCAAGACATACAAAACCACGTGTGAAGGTGGAACACGTCAACCTGAAAACACAAGCAGCCTTGGAATTTGGCAAACAATCACATGACAAATTTCAAGATATTGAAAAAAGAAGATTAACGAACTAGAGCGGGCGACGTTGTGGGACGAGCTCTGTTAGCGCAAGATTTCATCGAAAAATGCGACTGAAGCGACTTTTTCCTACATGGAGAAAATCCTAAGGATATCATTTGCTTAAATATGGTTGCCACAGCAAGATATTAATATTATCTTTCGACCATGCGGGTAAATATTTACTTTTAAGT